ACTGGGTCCGGGACTCGAACCATGGTCGACTACATGGGAGTCCAGCAACATAGCCATTACATCAATTGCTAGTCCCCCTTTCATTATTACTATTTTTTAAATTTCACCAGAAAGAGACAGGGTGGGGGTGGGGGGAATGGGGCGGGAAGCAAGAAAATAAGCGGCCAGGTCCCAGCCAAGCTGCAGTCAGCCATGTGGGAATCTAGTGCCTTTAACCACAACCCACCTGGTGGCCCCTGTATTATTTTATCATTTGAAAACAGCAAGGATGCAAATATTATAGATCATAGTTAACTCAATGTGGAGAGATGAGTGTATAGTGTTTAGAATAGTCATAGTATTGTTTCATATACTAAAATAATTATTTTTTAAGTAAATGAGATGCCTGTTGATGGTATAAATACTACCCTGCAACCTCCTGTTGGCCTGGAAATAAAGTTGACTGGCATTCTAGACTCGCTGTGAGTCCACATGTCATTCTAGTCCTTACTCATTGGATAGATGGATCTTGCCAGGATGCTCCAGGGAGAGCTACAGGCTTGCAAGGGATGGAGCTCAGTGCATTGTGTAGTGAGGCAGTAGGACCAGTGAGCAGGTGGTAAGGAATTTACCAAAGACAAATGCAAGTCAGATTTATTAGCGCTCAGGTGAGAATAGGGCGAGACCAGAGCAAGTTCGCACCTCATGGCAGGTTTTATAAACCTTATAAAACCTTAATTGTAAGAAGAAGTAATGAAAACTGGAAGCTCAGGTGGGATTGGGGGTGGTTGTGGTCCTGTCTTTGGAATGCAAAGCGTCTATCAGCCACAGGGATTGCTGGAGGTGGGGTGTGTGTGTGTGTGGGGGGGTGAGAGTGGGAGTGGGGGTCAGTTTCCCCTGTTTTAAAGCTTATCTTGGGTTCTTTCATCAACCTGGGCAAGTTTACTTATTTCCTTAGGTAAGGCTCATCCTAGCCCTTCTTTATTAATCCTTGCTTGCCTATTTTTCTTATGAACTCTACACATTGAGATGTACGCAGAACAGGTTGTTGAAAATCAAAGTACAAGGGGATGGGGCGCAGCGAATAAGGCGTATAGAAAGAGTTAGGTAGGGGCTGGGGTCGGAGGATCCCGACGGGGAAAGA